CCAGGAGGCGATTGGTGCCGGTTGCTCGTCGGGGGGAGTCGGCGAAGCTCGGACTGTCGGAGTGTGTGTTGAGTCGCCTAGGTCGTGGTCGTTGGGGTCGTCGAAGCTCTGGTCCTCGGCGTGTCGCGTGGGAAGTGGCGTGGATGTCTCGGCCAAGAACCCTTCGTGAGCCTTCGGGTTCTTCTGGGGCGTTCCGTCTCCCGCAACTGGCGTCGGAGCAACTCCCGATGGGGATGTGAGGTCGATGAGAGGGCCGAGTGGTTGCGGTGTCGTCCCTGGTGGTGGGGGTGGCATGGGCGGTGTGCTGGTGCTTGTGTCTGCTGGTTGTTGCGCAGGTGGGTGGCCCGGTGGGGCTTTGCAGACGCTGGGCGCGTACAGTTGTCGCCGAGGTCGGCGGGGCGGTCCTCGATGTGCTCGCTCCCACAGTGCCTGCGCCTGATGATCTCCGTCTTGGCGCTGGTGTAGTTGCCACGCGACTTGCAGAGGCTGCAGTAGAAGGGCGGCGTTAAGCCATTCGAAGATCCAGAAGATGAGGGAACGCCTCGATGCCCTGCAGCGTTCGGGGTCTCCACCTGGATTAGCTCGGCGTAGTGCGATTCGCGGGTCTCGTCGTAGTCGAACTCGTGCGACGGAGCGATGGCGTGGAGGGCGGGGCGTATGTTGTCCCGCTGGTAGGCCTCCTCGTCATCGGCTTGGGCTTGCATCTTCTGCTCCTCGTTTTCCTTGGTGAGCGCACTGGCGACGCCGTCGAGCATGTCAGTATCGATCCTGGGTGCGATGCTGTCGAGCTGCCCCCACAGGGTCTTCTCGAGAAGTGCTTGGTGTACTCGACGCTCTTCCTGTTGTCGGGCCAGCTGTTCACGATGATGTTCTTCCTGTGATTGTCTTTGTGCCTGTCGGAGTTGGCGAGCTGCTGCTGGTGTATCTCTGCCTCGTATTGGCCGTATCCCTCCAGGAACTGCTCGCGTTGATGCTGGTCATAGTTGGTCCGGTGGTGCATCTGCTGCTGGGGAGCCTGGGCCTCGTTGAAGAAGAGCTGGTGCTGTTGGGTGGCGCGCAGGTGCTCCGCTTCTTTGGCTTCGAGCTGGTCGCGCTTATTCTGAATGTGTCGCTGCGCCTCAAGCTGGAGCTCCGCTTGCTGGTAGACCACTTCTCGCTCCCTCTGTACTGTGTAATGTTCCTCCAGGAGCTTGTTGGCTGCGATGGCGGTCTGCTGCTGGATCGCGTGCTCCTGTTTGATCTCCTCTCGCTTGAGGTCTGCTTGGGCTTCAGCGATCTGTTCGGCTATGTCGTTCTTTCTTTGCATCTCCTGGGCTGCCATGACTTGCACGGCCTGCTCCTCGAGACGGAGGTCCTGGTTCATCTGCTCGATCCTCTGGCCCTCGCGCTGAAGTCGTTCGCACTCGCGATGAAGTTGTTCGCTCATCTCCTGCTGGCGGGCTGCGACCTCAGAAGTTGGTGCATCACGCGCCTTGGAGGCAGTCTCCGCTCGAATGGTGCCCAGCATGTGGTAAGCCTCCTGGCGCTGCTGCTCGTAGGTAAGCTTCTGACGTTCGAGGTCGTGTCTCAGCGCGCGCTCGTGGTCCTCGATCATCTGCGCTTTCTGCTGCACCTTCTCCGCGTAGAACTGGTGGAACATCTCTTCTCGATGTTGGCATGCGCGTTCTTGCTGAGCTTCTTGTCTGCGGAGTGCTTGTTCGGTGGCGTTCATGGCCGTCTTGGATAGCTCCTGCTCGTGATGCACGAGCCTGTCTCTGTTCTGCGTATTCAGTTCGGCAAAGCACTGCCGAATGGCCTCCACCTCCTCCTCATATTCTTCTGACTTCTTTCGGAGCTCGGCGTTGGCGATGCTGGCTAGGTCATTTCCTTCTCGGCGTGCTTCCTCGTCTTTCCTCCTGAGCAGTTCTGCGATGGTGCTTGATGGGGAGGCCGGCCTGCTCGAGCATGAGGATGGAGGCTCTCGGCTGGCGCGACGGCGAAATGAGGTGCTGGCCCTTTTGTTTCTTTGCTTCTTCATGTCGTCCTCGGAGTCGGCCTCGCAATCGGTGTCGGCTTCGGCTGCGATCTCCAGCTTGACGTCTATGATGAGGCGGCGCAGATCGGAGATGCGCTGGGTGTTGGCGTCCGCCTTTGTCTGCAGGGCTTCTTTCTTCTCGTGGATATTTTTCTGCTCCTTGGCCAGCACCTCAATCTGAAACCGATATCGTTGTAGCCGTACCCGTGGTTCTGTGGCCATCGCGAGCATGCATTTGATGACCGAGGCCTCTGTGAGCAGCTTGCTTGCTGGCATCGACCTTGGCGGACTGAGCGCCGCTGATCTGATCTGCAACTCGGCCAAGCCTCTGTTGGAGGCTTCTCGTCCAAAGCTTCCTCATGTCTGGATCATCTGACGGGGGGCCGAAGGACTCATGGTCACGAGACATGGTGAAGGGAAGCTCCATCACTGAGTCGGCGATGGCCTGCTGCCTCTTGCTGAGAACGTAGTCCTGGATGTGGACGGCGGCCTTCGTCCTCGAGGCGGGACGGCTCCATGACCGCTTGCTGGGATACGTAGAGCTTCTCCACGGCCATGGCTGCTCTCCCACTGCGGGCCCAGGGTGTGTGGTCCCTGCTCCTGACCACCTTTCCCCTGGGCCCCGCGCGGGCGCCTGGGCTGTGGACCCTGCTCCTGTCCACCCTTTCCCAGCGCCGCGCTGCGGCGCCTCGAGGTGTGTGGTCCCTGCTCCTGACCGCCTTTCCCTCGAGGCGCCGCGCTGCTGCTGCTTCCAGCTCTGCGTCACGGTGTGCTGCTGGTGGCGCTGAAACTGGTGCTGCTGGTGGCGCTGGTGCTGCTGCGCTGAGTGGTGGGCGTTGAGGGCGTTGGCTGCCTCGACCACCCGCAGCAGAGCCCTTGCCGAGGAGCGGCGGGCCCTTTCCCGCCTGTGCCAGGCGGGCTCCTGGGGCGTCTGCCCCCTCCTGGCGCGCCTGCAGGCGCGCGGCAAGGCGCAAGGTCGCGGCTGCGGCAGGCAATCGCCGACCCGCCGCGGCGCGCGAGCCCGGCCCCGCGGGCGGCCGATCGCGATTGGCGTGAGTCGATCGGCGCGATCAGACGATCAGGTCGAACGGATGATCGTTCACGGCCCAGGCCCGCAAGAGGCCAAATGGGCTTCCTCCTCCTCCTCCTCCTCCTCCTTCTGCTCCCCCTCCTCCTCCTCCTCCTCCTCCTCATCCTCTTCCATTTCCTCTTCCATCCTCCCCCTCTTGGGGTATGACGGCTTCCCCTGCCCTTTCTTCTACTGCATGTTCCTCCGCATCCCTGATCAGGGCAACTCGCGTGGGCATCGTATCTGGATGGGCTGGTGGGGTTACGCGAAGCGCCTAGACTTGTCTCCTGGGCCCTTCGACGGCCAAAGACAGACGCTCGACATTTGATTCGAGTCTTACCAGGGGCTCCGCGAAGCGCACGCACCTGCACGCTCTCGCGCCGCCCCCCAGAAAAGGAAATAACGGGGAAGATGAGGACTGGGGAATCGCGAATCGCGAACCGCGAACGACTTCGCGCCATCGAGGGTGCCCTAATGTTCGGCACGATTCGAGCGCCCCCAGAACGCTCTCAACTGCTGGGGCGCACGCGCCCCGAGGCTGGGAAACCAATGCGAACCATCGAAAACGCCCGAACTCCTCGAACCTTGAACCTCGAAGCTCCCCCCCTGAGCTTGATCAGGGATCAGACAGCTGTCCTTGAACCTCTCCTCGGGTGCGTTCTGGCCAGAATTTCGAGGCGGACCCAGCCGTGGCCGCGAGGGCGCCCCAGGGCGGTCGAAGGAGCGAACCTCGAAGCTCGAAGCTCGCTCCCAGCTCGAAGCTCGATCCCAGCTCGGACCTCGATCCCAGCTCGAACCTCGATCCCAGCTCGATCCCGGTCTAATCGCTCGAGCCTCCAGCGCATCCCCGACAGGCGCGCCGCGAGGGGGCCGTGCGCCTGCTGCTCGTCGGGGCGGCGCAGGACAACGACAGGGACGAGGGCGAGGACGACGGCCGCCCTCGTCGAGGCCTGGACCCTGTGCGAGGCCTCGATCCTCGTCGATGCCTCGGTCTTCGGCCCCCTGCGTGTCCTCGATCCTCGTCGAGGCCTCGATCCTCCATCCTCTTCGAGGCCTCGATCCTCGTCGAGGCCTCGGTCTTCGACCCCCTGCATGGCCTCGATCCTCGTCGAGGCCTCGACCCTCGATCCTCGTCGAGGCCTGCTGCTCGTCGGCGCGGCGCCCGTCGAGGTGGGCCCGCTCGCCCTGCGCTGCAGGGCGCCGCCGCCGGGGCCGTGGGGCCCGTCGCCGCGGAGGGGGGGGGGATACGAGATACGAGATACCGAGGGGCGCAGTGCCCCGCCTTCGCGACAGCACGGGGCCCCCGCAGGCCTCCAGGGCCCCCAAGGGCCCCCAGGGCCACGCGGGGTCTCAGAGCTGGGCCACCTTCGGGATGGCCGCCGATCGCGCGCCAGCCTCAAGTGGTCCTCGAAGCAGCACGCGTACTTGAGACCCACTGCAGCACGTTCACCTCCATCTCGATGGGTTGCCCACCGCACGTGGGCCGAAGTGCTCGTACAGAGGGTCGTCAGCGCTCTCCCCGCTCTCGCTCTCGTCGCTGTCCTCCTGCTCGAAGGACTGGAGCTGGCGGGCGCGATCCCGCAGAGCAGCAGTAGCGCGTCGGTCGCGACGATGCCCGCCATGCTTGAGGATCGTGGTGTCCAGCAGCGGTGGAGGCAAGGTGCGCGGGAGCAGCCAGCTAGGCGGGCGCCGCTCGGCCTCGACGTTCTGGTCGTCAAGGCACTGCAGGCACCAGCGCAGCGCCGCTTGGCGCATCCCGCGGGGCTGCTGGTATGTCCTGCGCGAGCCGTCTGGCAAGGTCGTCGAAACGGCACGGCCACGGATGACCTCGACCATTTCTTGCCAGCACGTCTCATTGGCGTCGGTGACCACATCTTTGAAATCCTGCTTGAACTCCGTGTGGTCGCCGATCTTGGCCGCCAGCACCGCGTCAGCCTGGCGATCTTGCCGCTCCAGCAGTGGCCATGTGGCCGCAGGGCTCTCTGACCCCAGGGCAGGGCGGGAGGACGCCGCCGCGGCGCGCGCCAGGCGCGCGGCCTCGGCCACAGTGCCAGCCAGCCTGGCCGCAGCGCGCTTGAGGTGGGCGTCACCGTCGGCGAACTCCTGAGACCCCGTGTGGTCGTCGCCGACGTGCCCAGGGCCCATCCTGCCGTCTACCGAGGACTGCGTCTGGGCACTGCAGGGATCCCGCCGTCTACCGAGGACTGCGTCTCGGCACGGCGAGGGATTCGTAGGGCCCATCCTGCCGTCTACCGAGGACTGCTTCTCGGCACAGCAGGGACCCCGCCGTGCACCGAGGACAGTGTCTCGGCACGGCGGGGAATTTTGTGTGGTGCCTCCAGGCTCCTGATGACCAGCGCCCGGAATACCAGTGGCGAGATGAAAAGCCCCGCGAAACCCTTCAGCATGAGGCTGACCTTGAAGATCAGCGCCAGAAACCTCACCAGCGCAGTAGCCCCCGCTGAGGACTGCCGCGGGGTGGGCTGTCATATAGACGGCGACCGCAGCACTGCACGCGGCTGCCGGCGGCGGTGGCTCGGCCGTGCAGGCCGTGGCATCGCCGTCCTCCTCGATGGTCACGTCGAGCTCCGCGTTGTCGCAGGACTCCTCATGGAATCCCGTCTCGCACTCGGTCGCCTGGCCCTCTTGGACGAAGGGCGCGACCGTATCCAGCTGGATTGGCACCTGGTCCTCGCAGTAGTCGGGCGCGATTGCGCCGAGGAGGCCGAGGGGGACGAATACATGCGCCCCCGCCCGCAGCACACTCCCGTGTGGCAGCACAGCCGTATCCACCTTGACTGTGCTCGCCACAACATCAGCTACGCACATCTCGACCACGCAATCCACTGCAGCCGAAGGCGTCGCTGCAAGAAGCGGCTGGTGCCTCGCTTTGTCGCCGTCGCTCTTGATCTCCATGCCTCTGTGTACGAAGTCTGTGTCCACGTCGAGCGAGCGTCTTGGCCACCGCGCGCAGTGCATCGCCCAATCGATGCATGTGGCGGCCAAGGGCGACGTCAGCCCTGTGGTGCAGCAGCAGCAACGCCCTGCCGAGGCCGACGAGGCGATCCACAAGGGCGGCCGCCAGGTCCGTGGGGGGAGCCAGCACCGCCACCGCAGCAGCGGCAGCAGCCGTCGCCGTGGCCCCGTCCCGCTCCAGGGTTCGCTCCCTGCGCAGCCTGCGCGCAAGCGTGGCCGCCGAGCGTCGGGCCCAGGCCTGCCCGCAACGTGGCCCTGCTCCAGACATCGCCCCAGAGGGCGCCGCCCGAGGGCCTCCCGCAACCATAATGCCCGAACCGAGCGCCAGGGGGGATTCGAGCCAGGCTTGAGCCAAAATGGCTACGGACGGCGGAGGAGGAGGAAGAGGAGGCGGAGGAGGAGGAGGAGGAGGTGGAGGAGCAGGACGTGAATGAGGAGGAGGCGGAGGAGGAGGAGGAAGTAAACGAGGAGGCGGAGGCGGAGGAGGAGGAGGCGGAGGAGGAGGCGGCGGAGGAGGAGGCGGAGGAGGAGGAGGCGGAGGAGGCGGCGGAGGAGGATAGGCGGAGGAGGAGGAGGCGGAGGCGGAGGAGGCGGAACATTGGGAGCATCTGTTCAGCACAGCGTGCAGGGAAAAAAGAGAAGGAGGGAGGAGGGCGAGGTCTCAGCCAGCCGACGGGTGGAAATCACGACTGGCCGATGCCAGAGCTGTAACACCGCAGCCTCACGCTCCCAGCCAACAGCCAGGGACGATTTGGGGGGCCTTCTTTTAACGGGCGAAGAACGGTGCCAACGTAAGGGTATAAACTTTCCAGCCGCCCAGGGACAGGCGCCCCCGACAGCGAAAAAGTTTATTATATACCGTTCTTCGCTCGCTGATTATTGGGCAGGCCACGGGAGCAACGGCTCGAAGCTCGAAGGGGGCCTGCCACCATGTGTCCACATGGGTGGCAGCTTTAGCGCACACACTTGGACGGCCACCCTAGTGTGGTCACATTTGGCTTGCCACTCATGTGCCCACATTTGGATTGCCATCCGTGTGTCCACATTGGGGCTGTCACCCTTGTGTCCACATGGCGGCAGCCCAAATCGGGATACATGGGTGGCAGGCCGCATGGGGATGCACGGGAGGCAACCCCAAATGTGGACACATGGGTGGCAAACCAAATGTGGACACATGGATGGTACGTAGTCGTCACGTTTACACATGGACGGCCACCCTTCTCCTCCTACTCCTTCTCCTCCTCCTCCTCCTCCTCCTCCTCCTCCTCCTCCTCCTCCCCCACCTCCCTCTCCTTTTGAATAGAAGTGTTCAAGGCCAGCCCGAAAACAATGAACTCACTTTTGGGCGCTTTGGTGTTAAGAACTTGTTGCGTCACCATCTCTCTCTACCTGTCTCTGCCGGAAGGTCCACCAGAGGCTCATCGGGGCCTCAAAGGTCGCCTGCAGATCCTGCGCGGCCCTCGTCCAACGTTCTTGCAGCCTTGGCGAGCCTTTCTCCTCCTCCTCCTCCTCCTGCTGCTGCTCCTCCTCCTCCCTCCCCCCTCCTCCCTCTTGCCTCATCCCTCCCCCCTGCGGCCTCAGGAGACCTCAGAGACGGAGGAGACCTTAGAGACCTCAGAAACATCAGAGACTGAGGAAACCTCAGAGACCTCAGAGACGGAGGAGACCTCAGAGACGGAGGAGACCTCAGAGAAGGAGGATGCAGAGGAGACCTCAGAGACGGAGAAGAGAGAAGGAGGAGGAGGAGGAAGAGGAGGAGGATGACGGAGGAGACGGAGTAGAGACGGAGGAGACCTCAGAGACGGAGGAGACCTCAGAAACGGAGGAGACGGAGGAGACAGGACCTCAAGCGAAGATGCTGCGAATGCAGTTTTCTGAGGATGTCTCGAGCAAGTCCCCAACGATAAGTCATTATTTGGGGCGGCGAGAGCAGCCCGAACTGGAGCCATGCGTGCCGTGTTCGCACATTAGGAAGCCTGGCCACTTCCTTCGATCGAAAAGGGAGCCTGCGGTCGCGAGCATCGAGCTCAGCTGCCTCACTGCCCATCTCTGCCAGCGCCTCGATCTCAGTTGTCGTGCTCACAGCGGTGGCAGAAGGTACGCCTGCCCACGAAGAGACGGAGAGGCATCGATGTCCCAGCAGGTCTCCTGCTCCCACTCCTCTTACTCCCACGGATCTCTATAATGGGCTATGACACGCGTCCGCGGATAGAGAGCTAACCGGCGCAGTGGAAACGGATGGGGGGAGGGATGGGATGTCAGACACGGCGCGAGCGCGTCGTGGCGGAGCGTCGAAGCGCGCCACCGCCCCTCCTCCCTCCTCCCTCCTCCTCGTCCTCCTCCTCCTCCTCGTCGTCCTCCTCCTCCTCGTCCTCCTCCTCCTCGTCCTCCTCCTCCTCCTCGTCGTCCTCCTCCTCCTCCTCCTCTTCCTCCTCCTCTTCCTCCTCGCCCTCCTCTTACCCCCTCTCCAGCCTCTACTCTTCAGGCGCCCCAGCTGCGCATCCGCAGCACGGGCCGGGCACGCGAACAGGCGACACGTTGGCTGGCGTGCGGGTTGTACTCCTGGCTGGAACTAGGAAACAATTGAATTGTGACCCGCCCATGACCTTGGCGCGAACGCTGGCGGGGCGGTCTCGGCGGTCGGCGCATCCGCAGCGGAGCCACGGAGCATGTCGGCCCACGGGAAGGGCGCTCGCCACAGCTCGAGGAAAAGCTTGACACGATCGTTCCTCCTCGTATTCGCCCTATTCCTCCTCCCGGAGGGCCAGATGAGACACAAGCGGGGCTTTCCCGCCTGCCCAGAACCATCTCGAAATCGGTCCCACCAGGACCCCCTCCCAGGGTCCATCCAGACCCGTTGTTCGAGGCGACTCCAACCGTGGCGACGAGAGGCAACCAGAAGGCCCAAAAAGGACGGCGAATGCCAGGGAGATCAGCCGTTGTCTCGACTGGACCTCCTCCTCCTCCTCCTCCTCCTCCTCATCCTCACTGCCTCTTCCTGTCTTCCGTTGACCGCCACACTGGGGACCGGAATCGCTCGGAGTGCGTGCCTCGCAGTATCCCAAACAACAGCTGGCAACATATATGAAGTGCCCCAAATGAATGTGCGGAGCTTGGTGTTCGATCCCATCCGTTCAATGGCATGAAACCCTCGACACGATTTCACTCTCTGGGGCGGCGAGAGCAATCCGACAGTATCCCTTCTCTGGGCGAGCACGCATCCCTTCTGTGGGTGCTGCTGACAGCCCTGCCGTTGTCTCGAATGACGCTCCTCCGACCCTCCTCCCCCGCTCCTCCTGCCCTCCTCCGACCGCCACTGCGGGGATTAGACTCGCTCCCTGTGCGCCTCGCGGCCTCAAAAACGGCAGGCGAGCTGCAAAAAAACAAAGCGGTACGCCTGGATGTGCGAAGCTGGGTGCAAGATCCAACACGCTCAATGAAATCCTCCACGCGAATTCCCTCTCTGGGGCGTCAGGGGCAGCCCGGACTGGAGCCGCCAGAAAAACCTGCGCGGTTGGTCGAGCGCGGCAGCTCGCGCCTTCGAAGCATTGTCTCCGCTCGCTTCCTCCGCTTCCTCCTCCCACTCCTCCTCCTGCAGCCCTCCTCAGACCGCCACACTGGCGATCGGATTCGGCGTGTGACTCGCTTTCGGGGCGCCCGTCGGCCTCTCAGGCCGTTCTTGGGCCTCCCTGTTCGCGGCAGCGGCATGTAATGGATTTCGACGGAATTGCGGAAATCCGTTGCAAGGTCTTTGTGTGATACATAGATATATCCACACGTTAACAATAGGGGGCGCAGCAAACGTGCCCACGGTTCAACTACAAAGGGGCGGCAGAAAACGCACGCACTGTTAAACTATAGAGGCGTCGCAAGGAACGCCCTTGTTCAAGTGCAGCGGGGCCGCAGCAAACGTACCGTCATGTCAACTACAAAGGGGGCCGCAGCAAACATACCCACATTTCACTCATATGGTTGGCACACTAAGCGCACGCGCACCCTCAGTTAACTACAGGGGGCCGCACCGATTGTTAAACTACAGAAGGGCTGCAGCAACCGCCACGCTTTATTTGCAGTGGGGCCGCAGCAAACGCACCCATATTTCAACTGCAAGGGGCCGCAGTGAACGGACCGGCATCTTAACAATAACGGGGATGGGGGAGGGGGCACAGAAAACGTGCCCACAGTTCAACTACAGAGTGGCGACAGTAAGCGCGCCCTCTGTCGAAGCGCAGAAGGGCCGCAACAAACGCAACCAGCTTTCTACTGCAGTGGAACCGCAACAAACGTACCCTCATTCCAACTACAAGGGGGCCGCGGCAAACGTACCTACATTTCAACGGCAAGGGGGCGCAGTAAACGCACCCATAGTTCAACTACGGAGGGGCAGCATTATACGCACCCGCTGTCAAAGCGCATAAGGGCCGCAGCAAACGCACCCAGTGTTCATTGCAGTGGGGCCGCAGAATAAGTACACCCAGTTTAGCTACATGGGGCTGCTGTAAACGTACTTATATTACAATCATTGGGGGCATTGCAAACGCACCCACAGTTCAACTACAGATGACGGGAGTAAACGCACCCACTGTGAACTAGGGCCGCAGTAAACGCGCCTATGTTTAAACTACAGTGGGCCACAGCGAACGCACCCCCATTTGAATTACAAGGGGTCGCCGCAAACGTATCCAGATTTCAACTATGGGGGGCATTGCAAACGCACCCACAATCCAGGTACAGAGGGCGGCAGGAAACGCTAAACGCACCCATTGTTAACTTCGGAGGGGCCGCAGCAAACGCGCCGATGTTTCAACCGCAGTGGGGCCGCAGTAAACCTGCCCACGTTGCAACTATAGGGAGGCACAACAGACGCACCCACAGTTCCACTACTGAGGGGCCGCAGTAAACGAATCCAATGTGCAAGCGCGGAGGGGCCACAGCAAACGCATCCCCTTTTCAACTACAGTGGGGCCGCGGGTGCGACAACGACAACGACAACGACGACGACGACCTCAGTCCTCCTCCTCTTCCTCCTCCTCCTCCCTCCCCCTTCAAGCTTGTTGACCTTTCTGCGCCACTGGTTGAGCTCGTGTCGTTCCTTGGCGTCCAGCTGTGACATGCCACTCCACCACGAGCTTGCACCAAATCCTCGTTCCCACAAGTCATACCCGCAGTCGCGGCACATGTGCCTGGAGCCCCAGTTATTCTTGGCTCCGCACTTTGGGCAATCCCAAGCCTTGGGTCCTCCGCCACTGGAGTCGCCCACGCCTGGCTGACCGCCTCCTCGCCGTCCGCCTCCGCTGCCTCCTCTGCCGCCGCCGCCGCGCGCGGCACCTCGAGCACCGCCACCACGTTCTGCCATTGGTCGAGCCCGCCGCGGCTGGGCTCCCAATCGGGCGACTGGGGCCGGGTGTCGGAAAGGATATGGAGATGAAAGAACTGTGGCCGCGAAGGCCTCGTTGAAAGCTTGGTCGATTAGGGATCTGACCCAGGAAGTGACGCGACGGCTAGAGCCAGCCACATGGGACCAGACATCTGCCCTGATCGCATCATCATCTTGAGCCAACATGGCTACGGATGATGATGATGATGATGACGACGATGAAGACGATGATGATGATGGTGATGATGATGATGCTGATGATGATGATGATGATGATGATGATGATGATGATGATGACGAGGAGGATGATGAGGGGGGAGGGAGAAAGAGAGGAGGAGGAAGAGGAGGAGGATGAGGAGGGCGACGAGGAAGCCGAGCTCGAGGAAGGCCGCCCGCCTGAACTGGAGCTCGCGCTCCGACTGCGCCACGGGTGCCAGGCCCAGAGCACCTGGCACCGCCTCTTGCTCCGCCTCGCCCACCAGTCCTCTCCCATCCTCGCCTCTCCCCCCCCTCTTCTCTTCCTCGGCCCCCCACCAGCCCTCCCCCTCCCAATCCTCGTGCTCCCTCCTTCTCCGTCTCCTCGTCCAGCCCCTCCTCCCACTCCTCCTCCCTCCTCCTCCTCCCTTTTTCCCTGTCTCCCACTGCCCTCGCCCTCTCCTTTTCCCCCCGGTCCTCCCTCTTCCACCGCCTTGCTCGACTCCCAGCCCATCCCTCGGCTGCCTGTCCTCTCCTCCCCTTCCCCTGGCCGATCTTAGTTTGCTTCTCCCTCACGTCACCAACTTCCTGCCCCTCCCTCGACTAGGCGGCGAGCCAAGGGGGGAAGTGAGAAGGGGCGTACCTTCTCAGAAGGCTCGGAAGTCCCCCGGACTTCTGAGAAGTTTCTAAGCCTGCCCCGAAGACAGAAAAACTTCTCAAAGGCGCGAGGGCTTCTGAGAAGTCCCGCCGCCTTCTGAGAAGGCCTTCTCCTTCTCAATTCCCCTCCTCGCTCGCCGCCGATCGACCGTCCTTTTCTCCACGATTCCTGGCCCCTCGAGCTCTCGCTCTGGTCGGAAGAGCCGCCGCGTGGGACTGCAAAGCGGGACCGAACACGCCCCGGTGCGCGCACGCCTGCTGCGCTTGGCCATCACACATGCGGGTTGCGCATAGAGTCGGGTAGGAGGAGGAGGAGGAGGAGGAGGAGGAGGAGGAGGAGGAGGAGGAGGGGGAGGAGGAAGGCGCGAGGAGGCGAAGGGAGGGGAGGGAGGAGAGGAGAGGCAGGAGGAGGAGGAAGGAGGAGTGGAGGAAGGGGAGGAGGGGGAGGAGGAGGAGAGGAGTAGGAGGAAGGGGAGGAGGGGGAGGAGGAGGAGGAGGAGGAGGAGGAGGAGGTAGAGCCTGCGAGGTTTGAGAGCGCGATCATTCCCACCCACCCACCGAAGCTGGAATCCCTGCTCGTTCACAGCCCTTCGTGTCATACAACTAATCGTGCATGCCAAAGGCGAAGAGCGCGCGCATAACATCTGGCACATATAATAGGTTGGCACTATAACAGTGCAGCACGTGTTACATGACAACGAAGAAGAGTTCATATGTATAAGCATTTATGGTGAACATGTGAACTTCTGTATGTACACACATGTACATCTGAAAATCAGGTGCATGTATATGGCGCTCCATACATGTACACATGCAAGTATATACACATACATAGTCGCTGCTATATCAATGAGCTTGAAACGCGAGCGCGCGTGCCTGGTGGTATTTCACACCAACTCGAAACACACTTGTTTCACTATTTGCTGAGGTGAATGGCGAGGTCCGACCGGGCTGAACACCAAACGGTTTGCTTTCAGGGACGCACGTCAGGTCATGTCCCATTTGCGATCCAGCTGCAGCCAGGACGGTGGTGATTAGGAGTTCGGGTGGACGTTGGGATGCAGGCAGGCCTGAATCGGATCGAATCGCGAAATCGGAGCGGGTCGGAAACGGATCGGAACAACGAATCGCCCTGGACTGCATCGAAATCAGATCGCCGCGCCCAGCTCCGACTGGCCAGGTGAATCGAGCCGAATCGAGCCGAATCGGATTCGCTTCCCCAGCTGGCGAATCGAATCGCGTCGGATCGGATTGTAGGCGGCCCTGGGAGGTGGCTGGATGAGGGAGACAGGAGTGAAGAAGCGTTGAGCGGGACAAAGTCGAGAAAATAGAGTAGGAGTCGAGTAGGTCAGAGTCGAGCCAGGCAGCGCAGGGTGTCATATTTCTTCATACACCAGCGTAGAGTCGAATGCTATAGGGTCGGGCCGAGTGGACTAGGAGTCTAGGGCACAATACACTCGAGCAGAGTCGAGTCGTGTAGAGTGGTACCAACCACAGACACGTCGCGAACCGTCGAGGAGGAGGGCGGAGGGAGGAGGGAGGAGGAGGAGGGAGAGGAGGGGAGGAAGGAGGAGGAGGAGGAGGAGGAGGAGTGAGGAGGAAGGATGAATGAGGCGGAGGACGGGGGAGGAGGGAGGAGGAGGAGGAGCGGAGGAGGAGAGGAGGAGGGAGGAGGAGGAGGAGGAGGAGGAGGAGGAGGGAGGAGGAGGAGGAGGGAGGAGGAGGAGGAGGAGGAGGAGTGCAGCGTCGACTAAAGTCGCGTGCTCGAGGCCATGGCGTCCACCACAACGCCGCAGGCACTGTGTTGGAGTGCTCTCGGGTACCTTCGATCGAAAGTTGGGCGAGGGCTGCTAAAACCGTGGCTCCTCCTCCTCCTCCTCCTCCTCCTCCTCCTCCTCCTTCCTCCCTCCTCCTCCCTCCTCATCCCTCCGCCCCCCCCCCTCCTCCTCCTTCCTCCTCCTCGCTCCTCGCTCCTCCCGCTCTCGCTCCCGCTCCTCGCTCCTCCTCCTCCTCCTCCTCCTCCTCCTCTCGGAAACTGGGCGAGGGCTGCTAAGACCGTGGCTGCTAAAACGGCCCTCCCGGAAGGCAAAAGCAGCTTCCCGGAAGGAGGCGCGGCACGCGAAACAGTCAACGGGCTGCTTCCCGGAAGGACGAAGACGACTTCCCGGAGGTCGATTTTAGTAACCACGGATCTAGCAGCCCTTGCCCGGCTTCCGAGCGTCCTCCTCCTCCTCCTCCTCCTCCTCTTCCTCCTCTTCCTCTTCCTCCTGATCCTCCTCCTCCTCCTGCTCCTCCTCATCATCCTCCTCCTCGTCCGATTTTAGCAGCCACGGATCTATCGAGCGTCGAGCTCTCTGGACAGACTGCTCCCTGCACTGTCCTCGACGTGCCCAAACCCTGCCGTCGCGTGCGCTCCTGGGGCGCTCCTCTTCCCGCGTGCGTTCTCCAGATGCCTCAGGACCGTGGCTTCGCATCGTGACACCCAATAGTTTGTTGTAATGCTTATGTGTTTAACATGTCTGTATGTATGCATGCATGCATGCATGCATGCATGCATACATGCATGCATGCATGTATGTATGTATACATCAGATGTGCGTATATGATGATGGACGTACGGTACGTACGTACGTTATGTATTTATGTATGCAGGCATGCATGCATTGCATGCATGTATGTATGTATGTATGCCATATCATGCATGCATGCATGGATGGATGTATGTATGTATGTGTGTGTATGTATGTATGTATGTATGTATGCCTGTATGTATGTATGCATGCATGCATGCATGTATGTATGTATGTATGTATGTATGTATGTATGTATATATATACACATGTGTGTATATACAGATGTGTGTACATATATACATACATATATACCTACCTACACATATATACATATATATACACATATATATATATATATATATCGGAGTAGGGCCCCGGGGCGGTGCCTGTCATCTCCATGGGGGGTGCAGGGCGCCCCCGGGAGCGTCCGAAGCGTCCGGGAGGGCCCCTGGGACCGCCAGGAACAGTTCGAGCCCGCCCAAGACGGCCCGCGAGCGCTCCAAGACGCGCATAGATAGCCTCAGGAATGGCCAGGAAGGCCCGAAGACGTTCCAAGAGAGCTCCATGAGGCCCCGAAGGCATCCCAAGATGCCTCCCAAGAGAGCCCCGACAAGCCAACATCGTTGACTTTTATTATTTTTTCATAGGTTTTTGGCCTTCTCGCTTTTTCGGGGTTCCGACGCTCCAAGGCCGTCCAAGAGTCTCCCAAAACCGCTCCAAGACGGCCGAAGAGGCCCCCCAAACCGCCCCAAGACGGCCCAAGAGACCCCCAAAACCGTCCCAAGACGGCCCAGGAGAGGGCCCAAGATGGCCCAGGAGCCGCCCAAGACGGTTCCAGGAGTGCCCCGACAGGGCTTCAAGACTGCCTAAGCGAGCCCAGCGGTCCCCAAGAGGGCCCCGCGAGGCCCCAAGAGGCCCCAAAGAGGCCCCCAAGAGCCTCCCCGAAGGCCCCCAGAGGCCCCCAAGATGCCCAAAAATGGCCCTGAACGCGCCCCAAGGAGGCCCACTGGAGGCCCTCAGGAGGTCGTCCCCATCATGTTCCCGGAAGGCGGTCCGGGAACATGATTCCGCGCCTTGGAGGAGGATTCTGCGCCTTCCGAGGTGCCTTGGACGACGTACGATTCATATTCTTGAACGCTTTCCGGGAACATGATTTCTCACCGTTTCGGAACGCTTTCCTACTGCTGCGGTGCTCTGGGGGAAGGGACGGGGGTCCGGGAACATGATCGGGAGGTTAGGGAACGAGGGTTTGGAGAGGAGCAGTAGGACAGACGGACGGGGCCCGGGGGCGGGGGTGGGGTGGTGCCACCGGTTGGCATGGCCGCCCCGGGCGTCCTGTGGGGTCCACGAACCCGCCTAAGACGGCCCATGAGGCCCCAAAGACAGCCCAAGAGACCCACAAGACAGCCTCAGCGAGGCCCAAGAGGGCCCCAAGACGCTCAAGAGCGCCCCAACAGGGCCCGAGATGGCTTGAAGATGGCCGAAGAGGGCCCCAAGAGGGTCATCAAGAGGCAAACACCGGCCTATTTCCATTCGTAAAGCATACATTTTCAGCATACTCGTTTGCTTGGTCCTCACAATGCCCCAGACGCCCCCGAGCCCCAAGACAGCCCAAGAGAGACCCAAGAGGGCCCACGACGGCCCAAACGGGTCGTCCTGTGAGGCTCACGGAACCCCCCAAGACGGCCCAAGAGGCCCCAAAGCCGGCCCAGGAGGCCCCCAAGACGGCCTCAGGAAGGCCCAAGAGGGCCTCGTTCGAAATCATGTTCCCGGAAGCCTTTCCGGGAACATGATTTCCGGGTTTTCTAGGACGCCCAAGAGGGCCCCAGGACGGCCCCAAAAGGGCCCCAAAAGGACCTTCAAAAAGGCCCGGATGGCCGCAGTTCGTTGATTTGCGTGAGATGTTGTTGGATTTCTTCCGCGCAGAGGAGACGGAGAGGGCGAAGGAGGAGGAGGAGGAGGAGGAGGAGGAGGAGGAGGAGGAAGAGGAGAAGGAGGAGGAGGCAGGGAGGAGGAGTGGAGG